TCATAGGTATGTGGTAGCATGGCCACTGCATCCTATAGATACTTCAGCCCCTTGGGCATGAACCACCCGTATCTGCTATTGTCCCTGATGATGGGTTCGAGTAGGAGCCCGAAACGTCAGACGAATCAAGCTCTTGTCCTATCGATCGTGTCTCCTTCTTCACATTCCTGTGTGGATTTGTGACTGCCCGCTCTCACGGCCGTCAGCACCACCACTTACCCCTGTCGCCTTCAGTCAGCCTAACACTCAACCTCCGGTTTGCGACGCCCTGACGCCTATTGGTATTTCTCTCTTCACCGATTCGTCGTTGCGGGGAGAAGTTCAGACGCATGCTCTTCGGCTGGTGAGAACGCTAACTGCAACCGCTTGCAGTGCTACATGTACACTCCCTGTCTCAGTAAAAGCTTATCCGTCTAACTGTTTGCCCTGCCTTCCGACTTGGGAACCTTCAAGTTGACGACTAACCTACCTCCATATAATTGTTTGAATGTATGAATGCGTATCTCCGGACACCAAAGTTTCAGCGCCATCCCCCATCCACGCACATGCATGAACCGGACAACGACGCTCATGAGTTAAGTGGATTCCTGGTGCAATAAATTCAACCCCTTGCGCGTCAACTCTATTTTCACTGTGTGAGTAACATTTATAAGTCCCACAGGACAAATTCACTAATACGCAAATCATGGCAGCAATTTCGCTGTGATACCCAGTCACTATTGAGGTACGTCTTAGCTCCTCAAAGCCTTAGCGGACCGGCCCATCATACCACGGAGTGCGAATCTGTTCCTCTGACGAGATGAGTCAGTCAAACATATACATTTCGAAGTAACCTTGGACTCTATCCCTGGATTCCGATGAACTTTAATAAGAATATGTTTCGCGACATCCACAGGAATGTTTACGCAAGTGGGGAATATACATTTACAAATGTTGCCTCAATAGTTCAAGTTTAAAATGTTTGAGCTTTGCGACTTGCGTTAAACATACAAGCGACTCCAGTGAAAGTTTCAAGATGGTCCTCGTCTTAGAGATATCAGAGCACTCAGGGGCCGTTCAGACAGGGAAGCTAGTGTCTTATATGATTCTGACTGCATATCTTTTATTATCCTTAAGAAAGAAATCACCTCAACTCCAAGCACCACAACAGATTCCCTAGATTTGGGCGATTCGAGTGAGCTGAACATTTAGTTTTCGACAATTCAACATCTGGAAATGTCCTTTAATTTCGAAATAGTTCTTGTCTCCGCCTCACTATGCCGTACTAATTATGTTCATGTGGACTCGGTAGGGATTGGGTGAAGACCCCCAAGCATCTGTGGTATACAAAGAATACCTTCTATTCTTATTTAAGCAAGTTTTAATCTGACACGATTACTTCATTTTGGTGTTTTATCACACAAGGTTTGGTCGTCTGTTATAGACGGCTTGAGTTAG